CGAACCCGATTTCCCAATCGATGACGATGGAGCAGATGTTCTATTGCCCGACCATGAAGTGGTTCGAATAGCAATTACCAGTCTAAAGAACAACAAAGCAGCTGGGGCCGATGGATTGCCGGCCGAGCTATTAAAACACGKCGGCGAAGAACTGATAAGGAACATGTATCAGCTGTTTCGAAAAAATATGGTCGGACGAAAGCATGCCCAACGATTGGAATTTAAGTGTGMTATGCCCAATCCTTAAAAAAAGAGACCCCATAATCGTGCAACCGTGGGATTAGCCTTCTCAACATCRCATATAAGGTTCTATCGAGTGTATTGTGTGAAAGATTAAAGTCCACTGTTARCAAACTGATTGTGGCTKTAGACCTGGCAAATCAACAACCGACCAGATATTCATCATGCGCCAAATCTTAGAAAAGACCAGTGAAAGGTGAATCGACACACATCACCTTTTCGTCGATTTCAAAGCTGCTTTCGACCGCACCAAGAGGACCTGTCTTTATGCCYCGAAGTCTGAATTTGGTATCCCCGTGAAATTAATACGACTGTTATGTTGATCAATCAGCTGCTCTAGAAAATAATTACAGCTGCAGGATTAAACCGAGAGGGTATAATCTTCTATAAGAGTGTACAGCTGTCGGCGTATGCTGCGCCGCTGGTTCTGCTTTCTACAGAATAGATAASGCAGCGAATCAAATGGGTCTGGCAGTGAACGAGAGCAAGACGWAATATSTCCTGTCATCAAACAAACAGTCGTCGCACTCGCGATTAAGCACCCACRTCACTGTTTACATTCATAATTCTGAAATCGTAGATAATTTCGTCTATCTTGGAACCAGTATAAAGACCMCCAACAATGTCAGCCTGGAAATTCTTTTACCAACAGGTGCTACTTTGCACTAAGTATACAATTGAGAAGTAAAGTCCTCTCTCGACAAACAAAAACTAAAGTTTATAAGTCACTAAAAGTCCCACCATATAGCAGAGGTGCAGAGGTATGGACGATGACAACATMTGAGAGGAAGAGGAAGACCTCCACTTCGTTGAAAGGATCAAGTGAAGAAGGACTTGGCTTCGCTTGGAATATCCACTTGGCGCCACGTAGCGAAAAGAAGAAACGGCTAGCGCGCTGTTATTAACTCGGCTATAAACGTGTAAGCGGTTTCTACTTCAATAAAGAAGAAAAAGAAGATGTGGCCAAGATTTCGACTGTCCTTAAAATTTTGGGTGTAGCTTTTGATAGTCTATGCTCCTTCACTTCTCAAACGAATCTTCAAATTGCTTGACGGCAGCTAATTGAGAATGGACAAAGAAATGTTGTTGGCAATTGGGCGACCGGTCCTAAGCTATGCCACACCAATATGGTCGCCTGGATGCGGTTTAACTCAGATGAAGACACTTTCTTCCTCTTYCTTTGATATCAATATCATCGGCATACGCCAACAGCTGTACGTTCTTACAAAATATTGTACCTGCTCTATTAAGTTCTGAATTATTTTCTCCAGCAGCAGATTGAAGAAGTCGCACGATAGGGAGTCGCCTTGTTTGAAACTTCGTTTGGTATTGAACGGCTCGGTGAGGTCCTTCCTGATCCTGACGAAGCTTTTCGCATTGCTCAACGTCAGTTTACACAGCCGTAGTAGTTCTCATAGGTGCGCTTGAAGCCCTCATAAAAGGTATCTTTGTACACATCGTCCTTCCGTTCCCACTATGAGCCAAATGAATGGTTTTTGAGGCAAGAAATCACAGGAAGCAGCTAGAGCTTCAAACTTTAGTACAGGTGACTACGAYGTGCATCTTACTCTTCGATAAAAATC